GTAGAGAGATGGTAGAGTCCTGTGAGTCCAGAGCTTTAGCTAGGGACTCCTTGAATCCCTTCCAATTAGTGAAGGTTTTCGTGTGTGTTTGGGGAGGTGGCTGATGGCCAAGAATGAGGGAGACCGGTCGGTGATTGGATCCTAGATCGTCTAGTGTCTCGATTGCTCTGAGGTTGAGAGAAACTCCTAGGAGTAACGCAAAATCACCGATAACACCGATGGGACTATGGATATGATAATATCAAAAGACTGCGTGATATCGAGCAGTGTCTTGCCACTAGGGGACGTAGTACGGCATGTCCATTCAGTTTGCTTGGAGTTAAAATCTCCAAACATAATGACTGAATTGCCTAAAGATAAAATAGCCTCAAAATCTTTTTTGAGGGGATGGGTTCCTGAAGGGATGTAACAGGAGGCTATGAGGATGGACTGATGTCCAGTCATAGCTAGCCTGCATACCGTGGCTTCCATGTTGGTAAGCTGCGGAGTAGAAATGAGCGAGCAATGAAGTGTCTTCTTGTAATAGATGGCCGTTCCGCCGCCTCGGCGGTCGGGTCTGTCATTACGAAGAAGAGAGAAGTTTTTAATAGAAAGGCCTTTAGTGTCCTTAGTTTTGAGATTAGTTTCCTGTAGGAGGAGGAATCGCCTTCGCGATTCCGAAAAAAGAGCTTAAGCTCTGGGAGGTTATTTCGCAAACCGTGAATATTAAAGGATACAAGCGATAAACCCTTAGGTTTGATACGACCGTGAGACTTTGGTAGAGCAAACTGCTCTGTCACTGAAGTTAAGTTAATTAAGTTAACTTAACTTACAACGAGCACAAAAGCACAAGCACAAAAACACATTTTTAACTTTATATAAATCTCTAATAAGATCACAGGTTGAATATGCATCAGTTATATGGAGCCCAATATATAGTAAATATCGTTTACAGTTGGAGCGTGTTCAACGAAAATTTTTAAAATCTACAATGTACAAATGCTTTAAAAGTAATTATAATGAATGTTATGAACTTTTATTAAAAAAATTTAGTGTTCTTTGTTTAGAATCGAGAAGGATGCTCTTGGATCAAACTTTGCTTTACAAAATCTGCCATAACAAATTTGATTGTAATGAACTCACCAATCAAATATACATTCGTATACCTAGTCGCTCGAAGCGTATACGTGAGCTCCATTCACATCAAATTTTCGCTCCAAAACCAAGTAAAACAAATGCAGGTGCACGTGCACCCATAAATCGTATAATGGAATTATACAACAACAAATTTAATGACATAGATATCTTTGGATTAACTTCTTCTAGATATAAAAATGTGTATGAGGTTCTATCTGAATTTGATGCAAGTTAATGTAATTGCTTATTTAGGTTAAATTTAATTTTTCACATCTATGTATTATCTATATACGTGTATGTGCGTGTATGAATGTTTGTATATGTGTGTGTATGTATATGCGTGCACATGTACATGCATATGTGTAAATTAGCTTGTTTTTCTCTGTATTTATTGGTGAACGGGTCATTTTTAATAGAATATTATATTTTAATTTTTAATTGTTACGTACACAGACCCAGTGGTAATATGTGGATAACGGTGTTGATTGTATGATTATTAAGCTTAAATATAGTATTGTGTTTAATAATAAGATTATATTGTACAATTGTTTGTTATTCATAATAAGGAGAAAAAAAAGATTATGATGCTCTGTAAGAGCGAGGAGACGGTCCTGAGGGGACCTCACAGCGCGCAATTTGCGTGCTAACACCGCGATTTCACTAACTTCGATGTTCCTAATAGAGGAATAGATAGTTTTTAGGTCTTCAATAGTGGGCTGTGATTGTTGTTGCTGTGGGGCGGAGGTTGTCTGCGGTGGGTCTGCCTTATTGGGGCCCCAGGAAAAGACTGGAGGCTGCATAGGCTTTAAGAAGCACGGAGGGGGCCGAATAATGCCCTGAGGGGGCCTAGGGGGACCCTGAGGGGGCCAAGAGAAGCCCTGGATGGGCTGAGAAGGCCCTGACGGGGCCGTTGATAGAGAGCCGGGAATGAGCGATCATTGACCGGCGGTGGAGCTTGCCTACTGGGGCGAGGTTGAGGTGCGCAGGGGCAGCCTCTGTAGTTAGCCGGGTGGCCTGTTTGTTTACACAGGACACATGCGGATGGGGATTCGGCGTCTTTGGGCCGAGGACACTCTTTGGTGTTGTGGGGTTCAAGGCACTTAACGCACCTGGGTGGGGTGGAGCAGTTGGCCGCCGCATAACCATATAGCTGGCAGTGGTGGCACTGCGCTGGGAATCCGCGCCTACACACTGTGCGTACCTGCCGGAAGATGGCTTTTGCCTCCGGCACGTTGGTTAAGATGACAAGGGCTAAATTGAACCTCTTGCCCGTTCTACTGTGCATTTTGTGCACGGCTTCTACGGGGAAACCTTGGGACTTAAGGTCTTTAAGGATTTCCTCGTTGGAGAATTCGAAGGGGACGCCTCGGATGACGGCAATGACTTTACGCTCTTCCGGAAGAGCGTACGTGTGGTATGAAACTCGTTCGGCTGTGAATAGCCTGGTGAGTTGACGGAAGTCCTCGATCGAGTTGGGGATGATTTTAATAGCCTCCCCGTGGTTGATGGCATGGTCGTATTTGATGCCTGCGCCGTAGCAGGTTTTAGACAATTTGGTAAATTTTGCCTTGTCTTTTAGGAAGACAGGGGGCGGGACTTGCTTCTTGGCAAGGACTGGAGCACAACGAGAGGCTGGCTTGGCCGTAGTGGGGATGTCTAGTGACATAAGTGGGACCGCGGCAGCGGCTGGGGCTGTGGGCGCAGAGGCGGTAGCGGGGGCTGCGGAGGTTGTAGAGGCGGCAGGGGCCGTTGAAGCAGGGAGGATGCGTATTTTCGAGGCGCGTTTACCGCTGCGCCTGGTGTCACCGTGGTGAAAGAAGAGTCTATAGTTCCGTCGGAGTCACAGGACTCCGATGAACCGGTACCTGAATTGGTGGCGGGCCTCTTCTGGGAGGCCGTCGCGGAGGACTCGGAACGTTCGTACTCCATTTCTAGAGGGGCAAAGGAGTTCCGTGTGTCTAAGTAAGTCGCGATTACGGGTGGCGGTTGGAGTGCCTTAGAGGCAGGGGGAGTAACTTGGGCGGCGATGGCGGCGAGGACCGTCTCATCGAGGTTTAGGCAATTGCCAATAGTTTGGTTTAGACCAAGAGTTTGGTTTAGGGCGGTGAGGAGGGCCTTAATATTGCTAATTGTGGACATTTTGAGGCAGTAGTTCTAAAATACAGTCCCGACTCACTTATTCACTCACTCACTAACTCATCAACGCCCAGCCTAAGCCCTAGACGTAGACGTAGCTGATATTTCGAACAGAGGTCTTCTTTATATTTAGACAGGGAATAACGAAGTTTTTTTTTAATTCCCACAAGATGGGCAATAAAGAGGATTTATCTTTTTGCTTTAAAGTTGCATACCTACAACCTTAATTATTTGAGACTTCAAATTGGCATATATATATAGGTAATTTATTTATTTATTTATACTATCATGCATAAACTAGTACATATGGCGGACTTAATGCCATATGGTATTCTCTCCCAGTTAACCATTAGGCCCGGTTTACATTTTGAGAAGTGACAAGTGCGAGCGGCAATGAAAAGTGACAAATAGCAAGTTGATGTTCACATATGTGGCAAGTGGATGTCATTATTATGTGAAATCTTCGAGTGTGAAATTGGGTTGGTAATTGTCAAAGTGGCGCTAGCATAGCTTTAAAGTTTAAAACTTTAATAAAAAAAAGGTAAAATTGTATGATGAAATACCAAAGACGTGTGAAGCGCCTTATTGAAAAGATATTGGTGCACACCAATTTCCTAAAAACGCTAAAGTGAGAAAAATGTGTCTTAAAGCTATAAAAGGGACAAAATTTAAGCCTGACTGAATATTGCTCCAGTCCCTGACCTACAGGAGTCCTTAATTTTCTTCTTTTCTTGATAAAATGTAGACTTAATGCTTCTTAACTTCGCATATACTTTTGCGCCGAAACCGGCCATTCCCATTGCTTGAGATATTGAGAGCATAGCAACCTCTCGCATCATTTTATTTTTTAAATTCGGCAAATTAATACTGTATAAACATTCGTATTTCAATAATTCCTGAACAAATTTAATGTTATTGCTATCTGACCACTTCGCCATTGTAAAAACAATAGCGTAATAAACCAAAATTATTATAAATATGTATATTTTATTTAATAACTATTATCATCAACACGTGTATGTTCTGACATCGCAGCTAGAACTAGAACCGGGCGGCAGTGGGCGACTAAGGGTAAAGCAGGGTTAGCGCGGGGCAGAGATACTTGTCAATAGAGCAGGCTGCTATTCACTTGTAATTTTTCATTTCAAACTTATCACTTGTCACTCGCACTTGTCACTGCCTGTTCACACGCACTAAGCACTTGTCATTTGTCACTTGTCATTGTCACTCGCACTTGTCACTTCTCAAAATATAAACCGGGCTTTAGACTGAACAGATATAGACATTTTAGAGCCGGTGCAGCAATTATCAAATAGAAAGGATAAAAAAATATAGGGGAGCCGGGGGGAATGGTAGTCAGTGGGCAATGCGGGTCAGTTCAAAACGAGTTGAAACTAAAGCTTAACAGAATACAGCTCTGTCGCACGGAGTGTAGCTCCACACCCCTCCCGCACTGGCCAATACGCCGGCCCGCCAGTCACGCTCGCGTCACCGGGAGCGACACACGTGTCACAGGGGAGGAGCAGTTGTAAAATTTTAGAAATTTCGATAGAAAACGTGAGTATTTATATTTGTTACTTTTGCATATAAAATAACCTTAAGGTGTAGTACTGGGACTAAACTTATGTTTATTAATGCAATTTATTAGATTTTCTGGTGTTTTTATTTAATAATTCAAATCTAGCAAACAAACCGTCATTGGGGTAATGAGAGTTAGTTGACCCCCATTCCTCGCATCGTTTTTCATTATGATAAAACATTTTTGTTCATTTCAGATGCCAAGGAACTGGACTAGAAAGACCTCTAAAGCGAGTTGGACTGTAGACAACTTGCAGGCAGCTGCTGTACGCATTAGACAAGGAGTGTCAATGCGCAAAGTTGCCGAGGAAACTGGTATTCCTTTCAGCACATTACAAAGAAGGATAAAGAAAGATGAATTTAAACCTCCAAAACTAGGAAGGCATGCCGTTTTTAACGAAGAGCAAGAAAATATACTTACAGAACGTGTTTTACAATTAAGTAATATGTTTCACGGTTTAACGACAAATCAACTAAGAAAAACTTCGTTCTTACCTCAAGATATTTATAATATTGACGAGACAGGTATTACTACCGTTCAGGAAACCGAAAAAATCCTGGCTACAAAAGGTCAAAAAAGAGTGGGTTCTTTGACTTCTTGGGAGAGAGGGAAAACGATTACCGTCGTTTGTTGCATGAGTGCTGTTGGAACTTTTATTCCTCCTATGTTTATCTACCCACGCAAAAGACATTCACCACAACTTGAGAAAGATGGACCATTAGGTGCGGCATATGAAAATTCTAAGAATGGTTGGACGAATGAAGAACTATTCATTAAATGGTTACAACTTTTCGTGAAAACCGCTAAACCGAGTAAAGAGAAACCGGTTTTATTAATATTGGACAACCATTACAGTCATTCTACCCTCGAATCATACAATTTTTGCAGAGAACATTTCATTAAAATGGTGTCCATTCCTCCTCATACATCACATATGCTACAACCTCTTGACGTGGTTTTCTATGGTCCTCTTAAGAAAGCTTACAACAGAGAGTGTGATTTATATATTAAATCACATAATTTACAAAAAATCACGCCATACGAAGTCGCTGGGATTTTTAACAAAGCCTATATGAGAGTTGCCTCAGTAGAGAAGGGAGTCAGTGGATTCGCATCAACAGGAATATTCCCATTCAATCCTCACAAGTTCAAAGACGAAGACTTCTTAGACGCCTCTGATGTTCCCTGTATTGAAAACATTTCTGCCACCATAACAGACTTAAGAATTAATGAAGTTTCAAATAACCATTTAATTAACAACATTTCAGAAGCAACCGCATCAACTAGCAGTAGGAATGTTATAGGACCGCAACCTTTCACAAGTGATGATATTACAAATTATAAAACAAATGATAGTATAAATCAAGAGAATAATAAATCCGACAGTGAACCTCTAGCTGGCGTACTTTCACAACTGACACCTATGCCTTGCATTGGAAAAGGTAAAAGCAAGGGAAAAAGAACACAACAATCAGAAATTCTTACTGCCACGCCTTTGAAAACGGTTTTTAAAGAAAAAGCTAAGAAACGAAAGAAAAAAGAAAAGCATACAGGAGGCAGAGCCATTAAGAGAAAAAAAGAAGTAAAAAAGAACTTATTTAAGTCAAGTTCGTCTGAAGAATCGGCTGATGAACAGGTTCCGTATGAGAGTGGTGACAGTGACTTAGAAAATATTGAACTCCCACTAAACATCCAGAAAAACACTCAGATAGAGCGTGATCAGTCTGTGTGCACGATATGCCTCGAAGAGGGAAAACCGAGAGAAATCTGGTACCGATGCCATCTCTGTGCTGGATGGGCCCATGAGGCATGTACAGAATGTGATGATCCAAGTCGCTATCGCTGTGATTTTTGCATTAATTAATTAATTTTGTTAATTTTTATTTGTTTGTTAAACGAGTTTTGTTACTTTTTGTTTCATAATTTTGACTCTTATTCCCCCATAGACCGACTTTCATTCCCCCTTACATGTGGGGTAATTGGAGCCAAAATGACGTTTTGAATTTTTAATTATAATTATGTTTATGTTAACGATAACCAAAAATACTTAAGTAACTAGATACCTGAATAGTTTTTAAAGATAAGTAAATGTGAACAAATTATAAGACTGATTATTAGTGATTATAATAACGAGTTTTCCTTAAGTGACTCCCAATTCCCCCAACTCCCCTAATATTCACACACACACACACACACACACACACACACACACACACACACACATATATATATATATATATATATATATATATATATATATATATATATATATATATATATAGAGTTAAGACGGGTTTATAGTTTATTTTATTACTTGTATTTTAATAAATGCTGTGACAAAATAGTGATAAAATATTAGGAGCGCATAAAGCCCGAGGCAGTTTACGAAGTGCAAGTGACATCTGCGGCAGTGATTAATATTCAACAAACTAAATTATATGTGTGAGTAAAATCATCACATTTACAATCAACAAATAAATAGGACACAGCATAAGACACCACACGTTAGCAAAACGATAAGAAGAGAGACGATAATATTTTACTCATACGGTTGCATTAGGGGTACGAGTTCTCAAATATACTGCGATCACACTTTCTAACTCATATTGTCCTGGTAATTTAACATTGAGGCGTCTTTTTATTTCAAAACCGGTTATACAATGCCGATCAACCGCACACCGCCGTCCGCTTCGCCCGTGCATATGAGCTCTGATGATACATCACAATCGCAGACATCGCAGAAGCGCGCAATCGACGCGCTAGAACGGACGACAAAACTTCACAGTGAATCGGCGCCTGATATTCCATCGCTTACGTTATATGTTACTGAGCGTAAAAAAAGGAAACATGACGGAGTGAATCCTAACATTATGTCTTATATGAGTGAAATGTTTTCAGTTTATACGAATGAACAAGCAAAGCTTTTCAAAGATTTACAAACTATAGTTAATATAATAAATAAAATATAAAAGAACAAAACGATGAATTAAAAAACAGCGTCGATACTATGTCAAACAAGTATGATGAGCTTCTATCACGGATATCCGTTCTAGAGGCAGGGAAAAGCCAGGATAGACATATTATACAACAACTACAGGAGACAATAGAAAATATGGAAAGAAAGTCTAGATTTTGAGGAATAGAAATAAGAAAGATACCTAAAAACAATGAAGAATCAAAGGAAAATCTATGTAGCACTGTTAAAAAATTAGGGGAGTGGTTGAATGTGAATTTGCGAGATTCAGACATAAAAGGTGTGTATAGAACCAATTCTAAGACGGGGCCTAGGCCGATAATAGTGAAATTTAATTCAGTCATTATTAAAGAAATAATGTTACATGAAGTAAAAAAATTTAATAAAACAAAACCATCTTATATATATATATATATATATATATATATATATATATATATATATCAGGCCAGAATTTTCCAAAAAAGTAATAAATATTTATTCTGCTGGACATCTAGAAGCATTGTATACTTACGCAAGAATGAAAATTCTTCTGAAATTAGAATAAATAATGAAACAGATCTAGAAAATCTACGGAAGACCGAATGACTAGTTTTAAGCTTTAGATTAGATATTTTCGCATCCTTTTTTTTTCTTTTTAACTAGCGTAATAAGAATAAAGTATATTCTAACACTATACTTTATAATACACATAACACAATTTACACACAATACTTAATCAAAAAGCAAACATTATGTTCACACAGCTTAATTACATCTTTTATATTACACTTGCATTTTATAACGAATCATATTCATTCATTTCATATATACAACTTACAGTTACATTTTTCAATCAATTTATCCAATAAAAGATATTATTTGGTCAATAACGAGATTTTGTTAGAGAAATTTAAAGTAATAAATAAAAGGCGATAATAACGCTCTAAGCTTCACTATTAACTTAGATAAAGTTACGGTATCAAGATCGTCAGCCTGTGACGTTGAAGATTGTTATAAGTATTTGTCACCTAGTGAATCCAACTTCACAATTATTACGCAGAATATACGAAGTATTAACTGCAATATTACAGATTTTGAAGTATTACTGACTAGATTAAAAATAGATTTCGATATAATTGTACTAACTGAATGCTGGTTGCTTAATAAGGACAACTTACCCAAAATTAATGATTATAATTTATGCTCCACCAATTTTAACAACAACCAAAATGACGGATTAGTAATATATGTTAAAGAAAAACATTTGTTCACGACTGAGGAGCCTCACTTTCAAGAAGGGAATTGTATCATAACAACATTGAATGATATTATTAAAATCTCAATATATAGGTCACCGTCATATAAAACTTAGAAAACTTTTTTCCTTATTTGGATAGTGTACTACAGAAATATTCGAAACATAAAAACATAATTATAATAGGAGATATAAATATTAACATTAACAGTAAAACAGATATTAATTCGGATAAGTATTTACAACTGACAGCATTCCGCGGGTTATTACCCACTCATACTTTAGTAACACGTGACGCAAGTGGTTCGTATATTGATCATGTTCTGCTAAAAACGAATAATCCTTCACTTACTATAGTTCCTCAAACTTCAATCACTGATCACAAACCTGTAATTTTATGTATGAAAAAAAACAACGTCAACAGTTTTATACAACTACTATCAGAAAAATAGATCACGATAAACTTAATTCGGATATGCAAAACATTGACATTTTACCTACTTATAATATTAAAGATCCAAAAACAGTAATTGACGTTAATACTAAATTAATAAAGTTGCCAAGACAAAAAAGATCATCAAACCTTGGATTACGACTGGCTAGACGACTTCCAGATAGTGAAAGTGATCAAATTATATACCGACGATATCGTTATCACTGTAACGCATTGTTAAAAAAGGTAAAGAGAAATTATGAAAAAGAGCGAGTGAATATGGCTAAAAATAATAATAAGAAGCTATGGGAAGTACTTACTGATATTATAGGTAACATGAAAAACAAAGGGTATAACAGAGAACTGTTAAATATATCCAGCACGCCGCAAATATCTGTTAACCTTATTAATAATTATTTTGTAAATGTAGGTAAAAGTTTGGCAGAGAGTTTTAAGGTAGGAAATAATAATAGTGAAAGTTTTAATATTAACATTGGTGAAGAATCAAACTATTACTTAAATTCATTTGCTTTATTGGACACAGATGAAAGTGAAGTAGAACAATAAATGACAATTTGAAAACTGACTGCTCAGTTGGTTGGGATGGAATCTCGAATAAATTTATTAAAAATTTTAAGTATTTGTTAATACCTCCTTTAACTTGTATATTTAATCAATGTTTAAATGATGGAGTATTACCTAGATATCTTAAGAAGTCCGTAATTCGACCTATTTTTAAAGATGGTGAAAAAACCTATGTAGGTAATTATAGACTTATCTCTATATTACCCGCTTTATCCAAAATTTTAGAGAAAATTATAAATAATAGACTTACAAAATATCTGGAGAAAAATAATTTATTGTCAAATGCACAGTTTGGTTTTAAACATGGCAAATCAACAAAGCATGCCGTTCATACTCTCACAAATTTTTTTCATCGCATTTAGACAGTAGAAAAAAGTGTATTTCAGTTTTCTTAGATTTGGCGAAAGCATTCGACACAGTATCAATAAAAATACTATTAAAAAGACTGGAAAATGTCGGTATCAGAGGCACTCAACTCAAATTATTTAAAAGTTATCTTTCTGAGAGATATCAATGCGTTAGTGTGAATAAATACGGGAGTATACTCGGCCCAACCTTATTTATATTGATAATTTTACAAAATTTCATCTCTCTCAGGGACATATAATTTCATACGCAGATGACACTGTTTTGATATTTGCTGCAGGTACGTGGAAAGACGTATTCTCGTCTGCACAAATAGGTATAAATGCAGTTACTAATTGGTTTTACAGTAATAAACTTTCAATCAATATTACGAACACAAAATATGTAGTTTAATCATTAAGAAAACCTTTTCGCAACTTTGAAATTTTTAACTTAGTGATTCATTCATATGATTGCTTAACAAGAGATAACAGCTATTCCTGCCTTTCACTTGAGTCTGTTGAATATATTAAATATCTAGGGATTATAATAGATAGTAATTTAAATTTTAAACAACATATTAACACACTCTATTATAACATACTGCATATCAACGTGGGGTGGTGCCTCTAAAACGGTGCTACAAAAGATAGAAATCTCTCAACGTGCTATACTCAAAGTTGCAACATTTAAACCTTTTCTTTATCCTACATCACAGCTTTATGCTAACTGTCAGGTCCTTACAGTAAGACAACTGTTTATATTAACGATCATTCAGAAACAACATAGCTTATTGTTATTCAGCCGAATGAACTTAAATAAACGCAGGAAATTTTCCGTAGATACAACTAATTATAAAACAACTTTTATAAGAAAATTCTTTGCATTTTGGGACCACACTTATATAATAAACTACATAAAACATTAGATATTTACCACCTTAATAAAATAAATTGTAAAAAAAACTGTACATAATTACCTACAAAAATTAACTTATAATGAAACTGAAAACCTTCTTAGTATTCAGACTTAAACATAAATTCTTATATAACTGTCATCCGTAAAACTACCCGTATAAAATCATAATAACCAGACACATACACGTACACTCTCACAGATGGGCGGTGGCAGTAGAGTTCAAGGGGGAGGCATTGGCCGTTAGTTTGGACATTGCGAAGGCCTTCGATCGGGTTTGGCACAAAGCGCTTCTTTCGAAGCTCCCTTCCTATGGGCTTCCCGAGGAATTGTGCGATTGGATCACCAGCTTTCTTGCAGATCGGAGCATCAAGG